GAGTCATCCCACTTTCGTGCACAGATGCACACAATGGAGTAGGGACATCACGATGCGAGCTACCCCGTACAAGGTTCACCTCAAAGTTGTATACACAAAAAAGAAAATTACTTTACTTCGTGTGATCCCCACCATGACATTTATACATTTTCTTACTGGCAAATCTTCTGGCATTCTATCTGACATATCTTCTGACATTCTATTTGGCATTCTATCTGGCATATCTTCTGGCATATGATCTGGCATATCTTCTGGCATATCTTCTGGCATTCTATCTGGCAAATCTTCTGGCTTTCTATCTGGCATATCTTCTGGCACTCTATCTGACATATCTTCTGGCATTCAATCTGGCATTCTATCTGGCATATATTCTGACATATCTTCTGGCATTCTATCTGACATATCTTCTGGCATATATTCTGACATATCTTCTGGCATATCTTCTTGCATATCTTCTGGCATATCTTCTGGCATATCTATCTGGCATATCTTCTGGCATATTTTCTGGCATTCTATCTGGCAAATCTTCTGGCATTCTATCTGGCATATCTTCTGGCATATTATCTGGCATTCTATCTGGCATATTTTCTGGCATATATTCTGACATATCTTCTGGCATTCTATCTGGCATTCTATTTGGCATTCTATCTGGCATATCTTCTGGCATATCTTCTGACATTCTTTCTGACATTCTTTCTAACTTTCTTCTGCACATTCTTTGTCCCATATCTTCCTACATGAGGTCCGGCAGGGAACACTTGGCGTTGATACTCGCGGTTGAGGTCCGGCAGGGAACACTGGGCGTGGATGGTCGTGGTTGAGGTCCGGCAGGGAACACTGGGCGTGGCTGGTCGTGGTTGAGGTCCGGCAGGGAACACTGGGCGTGGATGGTCGTGGTTGAGGTCCGGCAGAGAACACTGTGGATCGCGGGTCGCAGTTGGACGAGGACGACGAGGACGACGAGGAGGACAACGACAGGAGGAGGACAACGAGAGGAGGAGGAGAGGAGGAGGAGGAGGACGAGGAGGACCAGGCAACTGACATAAAATCTAACAACCCTCACCTGGCAGGTGGGGAATAAAAAGATCCAGAAAGGGGCCAATGCCGATCCACAGAATGTAGCCAACACCCTCTAAAACGAAGCCCGGCCCTGAAGAACGAAGCCTGTACAGAGTCGCAATTTTTCCGCCTTGTGATTTACAAGGTGTCTTATGTGGATTCAAGACAGCAGGGGCAGAATCTAATCAGGCTGGCAGATGTCGTTCCGAAACAGGGTTTAGTATGTTAAAATTGATTACGTAAGTTTGATTGCACTGCTTTGTCTCTTATAATCCAAGCTTTGAGGTCCGGGATAACTCGTAGTCTGATTCTTTATGTCCTATGTCCAGACTGAACCCCACTCGAAATCGCCAAAACCAGCAGGAGAAGCAATAGCAGCAGTTCCTGAGCTGTCCAAGAGACTTTGGTCCCTTGATCTGCACTTTTGCACCAAGGAAGGAGCCAACATGAGCCAACCCTGTCAACTTGGCTGTTGAAATTCTGGTAGGTAGCAAATCTATGCAAACCTTAGAAGGTCCAAATCCGAGTAAGCACTCAAAGTCGAAGACGTAGGTGATGTTTTTTCAACTCGTTTCAGGTGGGAGACGTCAGCTGGTCGAGGGGATTGGGCTTCCTTGAAGGCCACTGGTCGCGATTCAGCGACAACTTCAGGGGACAACTTGCAGACAATGTATTTTGCTGTATTTTGATTCAGACATGCTATATAAGACATGGTTTGATTTTCTTAGAGCATTGCAGACCAATTCCAGGCAGCTGGTAGTTCAACGCAGAAAGCAAGACAGGTCCCATTCCTCAACATGCCTGTTATTCTCCGCAAATGCCAGTCACTGCACAGACTAAGAACACGAAGCCTATGATTCACCTATTCTCTGGTACTACACTGGATTCAAGCCCTTTCTGGAGGAAGGGTACTTGTAGCAGATAGGCTCCAGCATTTGAAATATTGGAAAATGGTGAATGCGTTTGAACAGATTTTACTCGGCTGCAACAAGGTCTCTGAGCGACCGCCGATGCAAATAACAAGAAATAGAGAAATCTGAAATCACGAAAAAATGGATTGAAGAACTGAAGTGAAAAGACGTGAAATATAAATGAAATATATAAGTAAAAGTATTTTAAATTATACGGGCAAGAGACCCCAAACAGTGTGGGTTTGAGGATAATGTAAGAAAATAAAATTGAGGATGAGGATAAGGATTGGGATGATGATGAGAAGGAGGAGGAGGATAATGTTGCGGACGATGATGTTGAGGATGATGCCGAGGGTGATGAGGTGCAGGATGGTGATGTTGAGGATGATGATGTTGAAGAGGATGAGGATGAGGTTGAGGATGATGATGCTGGGGAGGATGAGGATGAGGATGATAATGCGGAAGATGAGGTGCAGGATGATAAGGTGGAGGATGATGATGTTGAGAAGGAGGAAGTTGATGATGTTGAGGAGAATGTTGAGGAGGAGGATGAGGAATGATGATAATGTTGCGGAAGATGAGGAAGAGG